ACGCACATGAAGCCACCGACCCAGGAAAGACAGGAGGGGAGACGACGGAACCAGGGCTGGCACCTCCAAGACTTTTGCGGCAGACGCCGACGTGCCTGAACACGAATGCCGGCATGCACTGTTTACGTCGCAGCGAGGCAGACGCAGTCCGCACGCGCGCTCGGGCAAGTCGGGAAACGATATCGCAAATCAACGCAGACAAGTACGTGCTGCCAAGCAAGTCTGAGCACCAGAGAAACACAGGTGAAGCGAATGAGCCGGGAGCGGGAAGCGGGAGGAAAAAGCCAAGGACACGACCACCCTCACACATTGACGGAGCGGATGCTGGGTGCAGCGTTTCGAACATTTGCTGGAACCGTCGGTCGTCGAGGCGAGTTATTCGAATGATGTCGGTTTTCTGAATATAACTCAAGGCAGAAGCAAAAGACATAGCTCTGGCTTCAACGCAGTACTGGGAGCCAGCGGTCAACCGTCAACCAGGTCTGCGAGTCTGCGTTGGCCGATTCGAGCTCCCTGGAGAGCAGGCCAGGACACAGAGAACCTAAACAGCGAAGCTGCAAAGATTAAAGCAGAGATGCATCAAACAGCGAAGCTGTACAGAAATGCACAAGACTGCAAGTACACGAGAAAACAACTAACAATATAATGAGTGAAGCAATGCAGGCCATAGATATGGAAGCAAAGCTAGAAGCAGTGAGAGACCATACAGTAACCACTGGTTTATACAGCGATTACCGTCTCAACACCACTGAGACAAACACGAAACTAAGAGAACTAAAATAGCGAGTGCGCTTCAAAGCAATGCGAGACCATGCAGTAACCACATATAGCGATTACCGTCTCAGCACCACTGGAAGACCATGCACGTGAAACACAACGTCGAAATGTGGACTAGATAACGAATTAACGCGCAACATACAGAGTGAGCCAAGACACCCACCACTACTTAGAGCGAATGCGGGCTCTTATCCGAACAAAGTGAAGATCAGGCGAAGCTCTTATTCAACACACGTGCATGCACGACAACACACACAGGCATGAATAAAGGCAACGCAATGACAAATCACAATAGTTCTAACTCGAATTATGTGGAAATCAAGTGCAATGAGTTCTGAACTTCACTCGAGGCGACGTATGACCTCAATATCAAAGACCTCAATATCAAGTACAATGAATTCTGAACTTCACTCGAGGCGAAATATGAAATCGGATGCTCAAAGACCTCAATATCAAGATACTCCGATGTCACAAAACTGTCAAAGTACTGAAGAAACTCGAACTGCAACTAGAGTCAAAACTGGATACGTGCTGAGAGCAACTCGCACAAGATAACAAATGCAGCAAATACAGACGCAAGCGGCCTGGAAGTACAAGCAGACAATGCAACAAGTACAAAGCAAGCGGCCTGGAAGCACAAGATAACAAGTGCAACGAGTACAATCAGAGCAAGCGGCCTATGCACCTGCCCCGGTAGGAGCTGCCGCACTTGGCACCAACAGAGAACCTGGCAACCTATCGTCTGTAGGCCCACGGAGAGGAGGTCGTCGCAGCCGACGACGTACCCGAAGATATGGGACGGCCCGTACACGAGATGCACAGTGGAGTACGATACGTGTGTGCACAGAAAACCTGTCCGCACAATGCGGCTCGAGGAGGCCCCCGACGGGCCAGGCCGCCGCTGAGCTCCCCGAGGAGGGACAGCAGCAACCAGGTCACCGCCGGGACCCTCGTAGAGCTCTAAACACCGAAATCAGCGCCCATATAACGAGGAGAGGGCGTATTCGAATATCAGATTGAAAACTCGCAAAATGTATTTCTTAGGTTTTATACGGCGTCGGTTCCGTCAAGTGTTTTGAAAGAAACACTGCAGCTACGGACCTGAGAATTTTACTGGCAGACGCGGCATAACCCACCCCAGGTGCGAAAGAAACCGGTTCTCAAAACGAATGGTCAAATCTCTCAGAACCTCCGAAAAAAACGCCGCCAGATCGTCAGACTGGGAGCCGGCGGTAAACCGTCAACCTTGGTTACCGCCAGGAACTCGTAGAGCTTCCTCGCGCAACGCGGGCGCAGCAATCTCGCATGCCGCGCGCGCGAGGGCGCGGTCTCGTGGAGGAGGACTGGAGGAGAAGGAGGAATGAGGAAGAAGGAGATGGAGGAGGTTGAGAAAGAAAAAAGGGAGAAGGAGGAGGAGCAGACGGAGGAGACGCAGGGGGAGGATCAAGAAAGGCATCGTCATCTCTGGGAAAAATAGAATATGAACAGTTGTTGGCTCCACCCCTGGAACCAGAAGAGTTTGGGCATCTAGATACTTTAGACTAGCGATTCTACTGATTCCCTTTTGATTGCTGTGACAAACAACTCTGTAGCTCATCTGCAGCTCGAGTTCAGTCAAGAAACGCAGAGCACGAAGAGTTGTTCGGACCCAGCTCTGGTAGTAGACCGAGTTCGGACATCTAGATACTTGAGACTAGCGCTTCTGATGATTTCATTACGATTGTTGCGCCGAAGAACTCTGTAGCTCATCTGCAGCTCGATAGCTCTCAATAAAATCACCATCCTCTCTCTAAACAATTGCAGGGTACAAACAATTGTTCGGACCCAGCTCTGGTAGCAGACCGAGTTCGGGCATCTAGATACTTTAGACTAGCGATTATACTGATTCCCTTTCGATTGCTGTGACAAACAACTCTGTAGCTCATCTGCAGCTCGAGTTCAGTCAAGAAAACCATCACCATCTCTAAAAAAATGCATAGGGCAAATAATTGTTCGGACCCAGCTCTGGTAGCAGACCGAGTTCGGGCATCTACATACTTGAGACTAGCGTTTCTGATGTTTGTTCTTCTCCTTGCTGTGCAAAACTGCTCTGTAGCTCATCTGCAGCTCGAGTTCAATCATAAAACTCATCATCATCTCGCAAAAAATGAACAGAGTACGAATAGTTGTGCGGGCCCAGTTCTGATAGCAGACCGAGTTCGGACATCTGGATGCTCGAGACTAACGCGCCTGATGGTTCTAGATGGATTAGGTGTGCCGGCCAGCTCTGCAGCCCTTCTACAGCTCGATGTAAGTTGAGAAAACCGACAGCGCCTATGAAGATGACACTGAACAGCCAATCCGCCGACATGTTTTTTGGCAGTAGTATGTACCCGATCGACCTGAGATAAAGATAGCGAGCGGGAAAAAGATCGAATATGGGGGAAAAATACTAGAGCTCTAACGAATGGTTAAATTTCGAGAAATCGAACTTAAACCCAGCAAAATTATGCAAAACTTCCGTCGATATTTTTTGCCAACTGGGAGCCCGCGGCAAGCCGTCAACCTTGGTTTTTGGGTTTGCGCGGGACCCAGGGCGCTGTCCGCAGTTTCCTCGTGCAATGCGGGCGCGGCAATATCGCATCCCGCGCGCGCGAGGGCGCGGTCTCATGGAGGAAGACTGGAGGAGGAGAAGGAATGAGGGGAAAGGAGATGGAGGAGGCTGAGGAAGGGTAGGAGGAGGAGGAGGAGGAGAAGGAGCAGGAGGAGGAGGAGGATGGGGAGGATCAAGAAAGGCGTCGTCATCTCTGGTAAAATTAATAGAGTACGAACAGTTTGTGGTTCCAACTCTGGAAGCAGACGGAGTTTGGGCATCTAGACTAGCGATTATGATGCTTTCCTTTCGATTGCTGTGACAAACAACTCTGTAGCTCATCTGCGGCTCGAGTCCAGTCAAGAAAACCATCACCACCTCTGAAAAAATGCAGAGCACGAATAGTTGTTCGGACCCAGCTCTGATAGTAGACCGAGTTCGAACATCTAGATACTTGAGACTAGCGCTCCTGATGATTTCCTTACGATTGTTGCGCCGAAGAACTCTGTAGCTCATCTGCAGCTCGATTACTCTCAATAAAGTCACCACCATATCTCTGCAGAAATTGCAGAGTACGGATAGTTGTTCGGACGCAGCTCTGGTAGCAGACCGAGTTCGGGCATCTAGATACTTTAGACTAGCGATTATACTGATTCCCTTTCGATTGCTGTGACAAACAACTCTGCAGCTCACCTGCAGCTCGAGTTCAGTCAAGAAAACCATCACCATCTCTAAAAAAATGCAGAGCACAAATAATTTGTCTGACCCGGCTCTCGTAGCAGACCGAAATCGGGCATCTAGATACTTGAGACTAGCGCTTCTGATGCTTGTCTTCCGATTGTTGCGCCAAACAGCTCTGTAGCTCATCTGCAGCTCGAGATATCTCAAGAAAGTTACCATTCATTCCTAAAAAATAGCAGAGTACGAATACCTTTTCGGACCAAGCTCTGGTAGCAGACCGAGTTCGGGCATCTAGATACTTGAGACTAGCGCTTCTGATGATGTCATTACGATTGTTGCGCCGAAGAACTCTGCAGCTCATCTGCAGCTCGAGTTCAGTCGAGAAAACCACCATCGTCTTTCACAACTTAGCAGACTACAAATAATGTTTCGGACACAGCTCGGAAGGCAGACCTAGTTCAGGCATCTAGATACTTGAGACTAGCGCTTCTGATGATATTCTTCCGATTGCTGTGCCAAACAGCTCTGCAGCTCATCTGCAGTTCGGGTTATATCGAGAAACTCATCATCAGGTCGCAAAACATTAGCAGAGTACAAGTAGTTTTCCGGGCCCTGTTCTGATAGCAGGCCGAGTTCGGACATCTGGATACTTGAGACTAACGCGCCTGATGATTCTAGATGGATTAGGTGTCCCTGCCAGCTCTGTAGCCCTACTACAGCTCGAGTTAAGTTCAGGAAACCGACAGCAGCTGCCAAGATGACACTAAACAGACGATCCCGCCCACATGCTTTTGGCAGTAATATGTACCCGATCGACCTGAGATTAAGATGGCGAGCGGGAATAAGATCGAATATGGGGGAACAATACTAGAGCTCTAACGAATGGTTGAATTTCGAGAAATCGAATTTAAACCGAGCAACATGATGCAAAACTTCCGTCGAGATTTTTGTTTGCCGACTAGCCCCTCAGCGCGCCGGAACTGGGAGCCGGCGGTAAGCCGTCAACCAGGTTTTTTTGCCTTTTGCGATCTGTCTAACGGCTGCCAAAAGCAGCCACAGGTCGTCTCTTCAGCCTAACCCTACGGGCGAAGTTACGGGTTACACTAAAGATGGCCTCGAAGAGGCTCGATAAAGCTTCGAATTCAGCGCTCATGGCAGAATATTGAGGGGGATGGCCAAACGCCTTCGATTTGATCAGCACCCATTGTGGTCTATCCACAAAGGCGAAACTCCCATATATTGAATGAGATGCCGATGCTTTGATCAATCCCTCCAGCCACCAACCTGCTCCTGCTTTATCTTTATCGACTCCACCGTCGAAAGCGCCCCGAAGGGCATAAAGGTCATACTCCTGTAGCTCGTGTGTCCTATCATACTCTATATCTCTGACGCGTGCAATGTGAGTTAATTCATCCGCCCTCTGATTTCCCTCCCGATAGACATGCTTACCTATGTTTCCTCCGACCGTGGCTCCGACAACGTTAAACTCTTCATGCACCTCGTGAAACTCATTTTGTATTATCTTTCTGGCATATGTTCGGTTTTGAATATTCCACTCCCCGTTTAACCAATTTATCGTGGCCATGTTACCGCCGGAACCCTCGTAGAGCTCTTCCCACGCGAATACATGCTCAGACTGTCAGAAGAAAGCCCACTCGGAACTCAGCGCGAAAACTGACGCGACATATCCCATTACACGTGAGAAAAATACGGGTTCTCAAAACGAATGGCTCAAACTCACCCTTCGAAAAAACGACGACAGGTCACCACATTGTCCGCCCAGGCCGGGTCGGCCAACTGGGCGCCGGCGGTAAACCGTCAACCAGATTACCACCGGAAGCCTCGTAGAGCTCTTAGCGCATCATATGAGTCCTCGATAGCGAGCAGAGAGCGTTCTCGAATATCAGTTTGAAAACTCGCAAAATGTATTTTTCGGATTTTATAGAGCGACGCTTCCCGGAAATGTTTTGATTGAAACACTGCACCTAGAGCCCTGGGAATTGGACCATCGAACGCGCCATGATCGACGGCAGGGAACAAAAATCTGGATTCTCAAAACGAACTTTCAAATCTCTCACAATCTTCGAAGAACCGACCCCAGGTCACCACATTGTCCGTTCTGGCCGGGTCGACCAACTGGGAGCCGGCGGTAGACCGTCAACCTTTGTTACCGCCGGGAACTCGTAGAGCTTCCTCGTGGAATGCGGGCGCGGCAATCTTGCACTCCGCGCGCGCGAGGGCACGGCTTCTTGCAGGAGGACGCGGGGGTGAAGAAAGAGGAGGAGACGGAGATGGAGGAGGCTGAGGGAGAGAAGGAGGAGGAGAAAAAGGAGCAGGCAGAGGAGAATGAGGGGAAGGAGGAAAAGCAACATGAGGAGCAGAAGAAGAAGGGTGGAGAGAGAAAAGAGGGACGATTTAGTAGAGTACGAACAATTGTTTGGCGCCAGCTCTGGAAGCAGACCGAATTCGGGCATCTAGATACTCGATACTAGCGCGTCTGATGATTTACCTTCGATCGCTGTGCCAAACAGCTCTGTAGTTCAACAGCTCGAGTTGCATCCATAAACTCATCGTGAGAAAATTAGCAGAGTACGAATAGTTTTTCGGACCCAGCTATGGTAGCACAACAGATTCGGGCATCTAGATACTTCAGAAGAGCGCTCCTAATGATTTTCTTCCGGTAGGTGTGCCGACCAGCTCTGTATCTCATCTGCAGCTTGAGCTACATGAGGAAAAGCATGGTCATCCCTGAAAAATGAGCAGAGTACGAATAGTTTTTAGGACCCAGCTGTGGTAGCACACCGAGTTCGGGCATCTAGATACTTCAGAAGAGCGCTCCATATGATTTCATTTCGATTGCTGCACCGAACATCTCTGTAGCTCATCGGTAGCTCGAGTTGCATCAAGAAACTCATCATCACCTCCAAGAAAATTTGCAGAGTACGAATAGTTTTGCAGACCCAGCTCTGGCAGCAGACCGAGTTCAGGCATCCGAATACTTGGAACTAGTGTGCCTGATGATCATCGTTCGATTGCTGTGCCGAACAATTCTGCAGCTCTTCTACAGCTCGAGTAAAGTCCAGAAAACCGAAAGCACCTGTCAGGATGACACTAAACAGCCGATCCCGCTGGGATGCTTTTGGCAGTAATAGGTGCCCGATCGACCTGAGATTGAAATGGCGAGAGGGAACAAGATCGAATACAATGAGAAAAAATACTAGAGCTCCAACCCCTGGTGAACTTCGAGAAATCGAATTTAAACGGAGTATAATTAAGCAACACTTCCGTGGAGTTTTTTTTGCCAACTAGCCTCCCAGCGCGCCGGAATCACTCTCTAGCTTCGCCGCTAACGCTCTTAGGGAAGCTCTACGCGTCATTCAAAAAAACCATTATCATTTGGATATATGAATTCCCGTGGGAAAGCCTGGATTCTAAAAACAAATGCTCAAATATCTCGCAATGTTCGAAAAACCGACCCCAGGTTGACACATCATTCGTTCTGGCCGGGCCGGCCAACTTGTTGGCGTCTAAAACCCGGACAGCCAAAAGTAAAACACACGCCGGCCCTGACACCGTCGGGCGCGGCTGCGAACGCAAGCAGGTGAAACCACAAGGCCGCTGCTCGCGCACGTAGCAATCCGCTGGGAGCCGGCGGTAAACCGTCAACCTTGGTCACCGCCGGGAACTCGTAGAGCTTCCTCGCGCAATGCGGGCGCGGCAATCTCGCACGCCGCGCGCGCGAGGGCGCGGTCTCATGGAGAAGGACTGGAGGAGAATGAGGCAGAGGAGGAGGAAGAAGGAGGAGGAGCAGCAGGAAGAGAAGGAGGGGAGGATCAACAAAAGGCATCGTTATCCTTGGAAAAATTCATAGAGTACGGATAGTTTGTTGGTTCCAACTCTGGAAGCAGACCGAGTTCGGGCACCTAGAGACTTTAGCGATTCCAATGATGTTCTTTCAATTTCTGTGACCAACAACTCCGCGGCTTATCTGCAGCTCGCGTTCGGTCAAGAGAACCATCACCATCTCTGAAAAATGCTGCAGGTCACGAATAGTTTTTCGGACCCAGCTCTGGTAGCAGACCCAGTTCGGGCATCTAGATACTTGAGACTAGCGTTTATGATGATTTTCTTCCGATTGCTGTGCCAAAAAGCTCTGCAGCTCATCTGCAGTTCGGGTTATATCGAGAAACTCAGTATCACGATTGACGTGACACAGAACTCTGCAGCGCATGTGCAACTCGAGAAATCTCAAGATAGCCACCATCATCTCTCTAAAAATGAACATATTTTTTCGGACCCAGCTCTGGTAGCAGACCAAGTTCGGGCATCTAGATATTTTAAACTAGCGATTCCAGTGATTCACTTTCGATGCTGTGACAAACAACTCTGCAAATGATCTGCAGCTCGAGTTCAGTCAGGAAAACCATCACGATCTCTAAAAAACTGCAGAGCTCGAATAATTTTTCGGAGCCAGCTCTGGTAGCAGACCGAGTTCGGGTATCTAGATACTTGAGACTAGCACTTATGATGATTTCCTTTCGATTGCTGTGCCAGAGAGCTCTGTAGCTCATCTGCAGCTTGAGTTGAATCACGAAACTCAGCATCATCTCCAAGAGAATTAGCCGAGTACGAATAGTTTTGCGGGCCCAGTTCTGGTAGCAGACCGAATTCGGACATCTGGATACTTAGGATTAACGCGCCTGATTATTCTAGATGCATTAGGTGTTTCTCCCAACTCTGTAGCTCTTCTACAGCTCGAGTTAAGTTCCGAAAACCGACAGCACCTGTCGAGATGACACTGAACAGCCAATCCCGCCTGGATGCTTTTGCGCAAAAATATGTACCCAATCGACCTGAGATTGAGATGGCGAGCGGAAATAAGATCGAATATGGAGGGAAAAATACTAGAGCTCTACCGACTGTTCAAATTTCGAGAAATCGAATTTAAACCAAGCAAAAATATGCAACACTTCCATTTTTTTGCCAACTAGGAGCCGAGCCGGCGGTAAACCGTCAACCTTGGTTTTTTTTGCGGTTTGCGGTCCGCCACTAGAATCCGAATCCGAATCGGCGGAACAGTGCAACTGAGCCCCCACCATCTTAGGTAGGTCGCAGCAGAGCGCACGCCGCCTTAGCAGCAGCTCTCGTCAGGGCAGCGCAGGCAGCTAGTTCGCAGCAGGTTACCGTGCTGCCTGGAGGCAAGCTCAACGCCTCCTCGGCCACATCGTGCCAATGGAAGCTCTGCGAGCTGATGCAGGAGGAAGAGGAGGAGGAGGAGGGGGAGGAGGAGGAGGAGATGGGAAAATCAACCTGCACGCTGGAACCCCTACCTACAACGCCAATCTGAAGCCACCACCCACCTCCACATCCTTCATTACTGACACCCCCATCGAATGCACCACGGAGAGCAGTCTTACGAGTACTAAGGAACTGATCATATGCAAACCAGCGAGTAATAGTTTGGCCACCTCTGGCCTCCCACGACAATCTATCCGCACGTGCATTACCCTCACGAAAGAAATGCTTATACAGATTCTGTCCCGATGCAGGTGAGGTCAGTCCCCATCCAGACAGCATCGATACAGTATTTTGTAGTGTTCCCACCAGTCGTACATACTGCTTGTTACGAATCTGCCACTCACCACACATCCAGTTAACGACCGTCTTACTATCTCCCAAGATCTCCATCCCAAGACGTTCAATACTCTCACACCTCCACTCCGTTTCATTCTTATAATTAGCGGCAATACGTTTGCGAATCCTCTCATTCATCTCTCTCTCCACCTCCTCCTCCGCCTTCACGTGCCTCACACCAGGTGGCCTGGGTAAAACAAACAAGTCGAACAAGTGTTGCATGCCAATCACAGTCAGCAAATGATTGCAATATTTCTCTCGGGACCCAGCGGAGCTGTCGAACGAGAGGTACCACTCACTACCAAAGAGATCGCACAAACACCAGCCCCATACAGTATGTCCGCGGGCAGGTGCACCCATGCTCATGCGCGTGAGATGCTTCCTATCTTTTGCAGGCAACGCTAGAATACATGTGTCCCGATGTTCCGTCCACTTCCCCCTTCCATGTAGCATGGCCAGCCTAGATGTCATCCATTCACGTGACATGTTCGACTCCTCAGGTATGACAGGCTGATCATCCGTTGTCCGCCGACGACCGCCACTCGACATCTGGGAGATCTGGGATACTTGAGAGGCCGCCGCCACCGCCATCGCCCGAGTTTTTCTCTGACGCCGATTTGGTACCGTCTCCCCCTCCTCCTCCACTGTGTGTGTGTTGTGTACCTCCTCATACG